TCCTTTAATTTAGCTCCTAGAGGAGTAAAAAATCTGATATTATATCAAATAGCATTAGTGTTATATATCTAAAACGTATATATTCGGGGTATACAGCTATATGTTTTGTTGTTAAGTAATATATAAATATTATCAAGCGTCAAAACGCTGAGAAATAGCATGCGGTAAGAGTTATGTATCTACAATTAAGCTAATATTTAAATCCCGATCTGCCATAGGAGAGAATATGTTGCTGTCAGAGTTATATAAACACATGGAAATTAGAGATTATGATATATAATTTTCAAGCGATTTCTATATTTTATTGCTAGTTTTTTAAAGTACTAAAACTCGGATAAGGTTAATAAATTTAAGCTATATTAAAGCACACCGGTTTCTATGTGTTGTTAGGGTGACACTAATTAAAGGATTAACTTTTATCAGAGATTTGCATTTTTCTACTGTGTGGATAAATACGGGTAGATTAGGATATTCATTGCGCGGGCGTCGCGGGTTATCCGTGCGGGAAGAGAGAAAGCGATTTAGACAAGACATGAGCGCTTTGCAGCCAAAACTTGAAAGACTTTGTGTGGAATCCTGTAATGGTTGTCAAGTCGGTCATCCTAGTCAAAGACAACATGACTGCCTCATGATGAACGAAAACGAACGAGGGCAAATAAGGAATCTATTCGTCACAAAAATCATATTTTAAATATATTTTAGACATATTTTAAACTAAACAGTTTCTAATCCCGAGTTGTCAACGTCGTTGTTAAGGTCAATATTTACATGTTGTTCAACGTTATTTTAGCAAATATTCTACATACATACATACTGTTAAGATGACCGAGTCAGATCATAAGTAAGCTTATCAAGAACATAAGTTAGAATTGGAACAGTTGTAATATATTTTGCAATAAAAACATGTAATCGTTATATACGTTGTTATTTGTTGCTAAGTCATTAGCGACGCTTGCGTGCATGCATATATTAACGTACAACATATTTGTACACTAATCAGGCGGGCGGATCGCGCGGGTGGAAAAACGGGCTTTGCAGGCAAAAATTTACACAAGATTTCAGTTTTACAATTATTTCTTCAAAATGTTTTAACAAAATTTAGTACGGTCTACTTTTAAGAGCGTAACGTCTAGGTGATTCTTGCATATCTTCTGGGGATAACCTAAGATATCGAATGATATCCTAAGATATCGAATGATATCCTAAGATATCGAATGATATCCTAAGATACTGTATGATATCCTAAGATATCGAATGATATCCTAAGATACTGTATGATATCCTAAGATATCGAATGATATCCTAAGATACTGTATAATATCCTAAGATATTTATGATATCCTAAGATATTGATATCCCAGCTAAGATATTGATATCCTAAGATACTGATATCCTAAGATACTGATATCCTAAGATACTGATATCCTAAGAAAATGATATCCTAAGGAAATGATATCCTAAGATACTGATCAGCTCCTTAGGCTCGGAGCCAGCTCCTTGGGCTCGGAGCCACCTCCTTAGGCTCGGAGCCAGCTCCTTAGGCTCGGAGCCAGCTCCTTAGGCTCGGAGCCAGCTCCTTAGGCTCGGAGCCACCTCCTTAGGCTCGGAGCCACCTCCTTAGGCTCGGAGCCAGCTCCTTAGGCTCGGAGCCAGCTCCTTAGGCTCGGAGCCAGCTCCTTAGGCTCGGAGCCAGCTCCTTAGGCTCGGAGCCAGCTCCTTAGGCTCGGAGCCACCTCCTTAGGCTCGGAGCCAGCTCCTTAGGCTCGGAGCCAGCTCCTTAGGCTCGGAGCCAGCTCCTTAGGCTCGGAGCCAGCTCCTTAGGCTCGGAGCCAGCTCCTTAGGCTCGGAGCCGAGCTCCTTAGGCTGTGATGTAGGGTCGATGTAGGGTCGATGTAGGGTCGATGTAGGGTCGATGTAGGGTCGATGTAGGGTCGATGTAGGGTCGATGTAGGGTCGATGTGGGGTCGATGTGGGGTCGATGTAGGGTCGATGTGAGGTCGATGTAGGGTCGATGTGAGGTCGATGTAGGGTCGATGTAGGGTCGATGTGAGGTCGATGTGGGGTCGATGTGGGGTCGATGTGAGGTCGATGTAGGGTCGATGTAGGGTCGATGTGAGGTCGATTTAGGGTCGATGTAGGGCTAGGAGTATAGGAGATAGGAGCCACCAAGGTCCTAGTGATAGGAAACAAATTGGAATTGTTGGAGAACGAATGTTTGATAAGAATATAGTCCACTTTATGAACGCCTATTGGCGACTGCCGTGTTTATCTCTTCGCCACCTGGTGAATAAACAATAAAGCCAAACAGGTCCCCAAGAACGGTGCTCCGCTCCGAGCCTAAGGAGCTCGGCTCCGAACCTAAGGAGCTGGCTCCGAGCCTAAGGAGCTGGCTCCGAGCCTAAGGAGCTGGCTCCGAGCCTAAGGAGCTGGCTCCGAGCCTAAGGAGCTGGCTCCGAGCCTAAGGAGCTGGCTCCGAGCCTAAGGAGGTGGCTCCGAGTCTAAGGAGCTGGCTCTGAGCCTAAGGAGGTGGCTCCGAGCCCAAGGAGCTGGCTCCGAGCCTAAGGAGCTGATCAGTATCTTAGGATATCATTTCCTTAGGATATCATTTTCTTAGGATATCAGTATCTTAGGATATCAGTATCTTAGGATATCAGTATCTTAGGATATCAATATCTTAGCTGGGATATCAATATCTTAGGATATCATAAATATCTTAGGATATTATACAGTATCTTAGGATATCATTCGATATCTTAGGATATCATACAGTATCTTAGGATATCATTCGATATCTTAGGATATCATACAGTATCTTAGGATATCATTCGATATCTTAGGATATCATTCGATATCTTAGGATATCATTCGATATCTTAGGTTATCCCCAGAAGATATGCAAGAATCACCTAGACGTTACGCTCTTAAAAGTAGACCGTACTAAATTTTGTTAAAACATTTTGAAGAAATAATTGTAAAACTGAAATCTTGTGTAAATTTTTGCCTGCAAAGCCCGTTTTTCCACCCGCGCGATCCGCCCGCCTGATTAGTGTACAAATATGTTGTACGTTAATATATGCATGCACGCAAGCGTCGCTAATAACTTAGCAACAAATAACAACGTATATAACGATTACATGTTTTTATTGCAAAATATATTACAACTGTTCCAATTCTAACTTATGTTCTTGATAAGCTTGCTTATGATCTGACTCGGTCATCTTAACAGTATATATGTATGTAGAACATTTGCTAAAATAACGTTGAACAACATGTAAATATTGACCTTAACAACGACGTTGACAACTCGGGATTAGAAACTGTTTAGTTTAAAATATGTCTAAAATATATTTAAAATATGATTTTTGTGACGAATAGATTCCTTATTTGCCCTCGTTCGTTTTCGTTCATCATGAGGCAGTCATGTTGTCTTTGACTAGGATGACCGACTTGACAACCATTACAGGATTCCACACAAAGTCTTTCAAGTTTTGGCTGCAAAGCGCTCCTGTCTTGTCTAAATCGCTTTCTCTCTTCCCGCACGGATAACCCGCGACGCCCGCGCAATGAATATCCTAATCTACCCGTATTTATCCACACAGTAGAAAAATGCAAATCTCTGATAAAAGTTAATCCTTTAATTAGTGTCACCCTAACAACACATAGAAACCGGTGTGCTTTAATATAGCTTAAATTTATTAACCTTATCCGAGTTTTAGTACTTTAAAAAACTAGCAATAAAATATAGAAATCGCTTGAAAATTATATATCATAATCTCTAATTCCCATGTGTTTATATAACTCCGACAGCAACATATTCCCTCCTATGGCAGATCGGGATTTAAATACCAGCTTAATTGTAGATACATAACTCTTACCGCATGCTATTTCTCAGCGTTTTGACGCTTGTTAATATTTATATATTACTTAACAACAAAACATATAGCTGTATACCCCGAATATATAAGTTTTAGATATATAACACTAATGCTATTTGATATAATATCAGATTTTTTACTCCTCTAGGAGCTAAATTAAAGGAATCACGCTAGTTAAATCAAACAACCAATCATAGTAAGCCAATACTAATCCCTCCATTGTATCATAAACGTGGGGGACGCTAAAAAATGCGTAGTCAGCAAGTTTCGCCCGATCGTGTTTAAGCTTGCCCGCGTGACGTCATTGCATATAATTATGATGTATGTTAATGAGTGACGTCACTACGCATCCTCATTTGTACAAGTATTAATTAGCGCACCCTCAACATCCTTACGCACCCTCATTTGTATGAATATTAATTAGCGCACCCTTACGCACCCTCATTTGTATGAATATTAATTTACGCACCCTCATTTGTGCGGCCCCCCTTAATTACCTGCATATATAATGTGCGGCCCCCTTGCATAAGTAATTACCTGCATATATAATGATGCGGCCCCCTTGCGGCCCCCTGCGGCCCCCTGAAAATCCGGGTCGAACGGTACCTATATTACTACTATAAGGGATTGTTTGAGTGTGATGGAGGTCACTGATTCTTGGTTAGTTAAATATCCTTTCTTGAGGTACTCAATTTCTTCTTTCAGGATTTGAATTATTTTGTCTTTCTCGACCATGGTTGAATTCAGTTCTGATATTGTTTTATCCATGCTTAATTTGAAATGGACAAAGTCAGCCTCAAGAGATGCCACACCTGATTTCACTGGTGATCTATGATTTGCCTGTGGGGATTCCGGGATTGTGTGTTAGCAGTCTGGTTCTCTTTGCATACAGGAACTGTTGTTTTGGATGACGATATAAACTCTATAAAGTTTTTAAGCGTTTTTGTCGGGTCTTTATCTAGTAGATCGGGATTATTGACCATTTCAATAAGAACAGGAAATTCCTCACTACTCCATTCTTTTACAAGGCGACCTTGTATTTGGATGCGACCTTTATTTACCATGATTGTAATCGTAAGAATATTTTCTTCTTTTTTTTCAGTGACAAAGCTAATTCTTACTTTATCACACTTTTGTCGTTTCGTCGTTGGGATTTTCGGATTCTTCCCACTGTACGGCGATTTTGTCTTCGGCGAACTCAAGGTTATCCTTGCAATATCGTAGCTTCATGGCCCTTATCCATGTAGGTAGTCGTTCCTCATTCGAACAGAACGCATCGAGGTTTGAACTTGGTTTATATATGGTGAAATCCAGTTGTTCCATAGGGACTCGTTTCATATTTGTAGCTTTGAAGTTATCTACTTGATATCGGCTGATGTTTTCCTCGCCTGCGAGCGTGTTGAACGGCGATGATGTATTCTGTTCCATACGTAAACAAATTTCGTCGTTTTCTCGATTTCAATGATCGTTTCGATTTTCCTTAGCTCGATATAGAGATTTTTGTTACGCTTATCAATAATATTTCAATAAAATACCGGTCAAACTCTGTTAATAAAACACTAAAATCACATTTTGTTTATAAACTTGATCGCGCACGCAGAATAATATTTTTGTCTCACTTTTTTCGAATTTGCCTTGTAACCAAGCCTGATCCAAGATGGCGGCCATCAGTTGCTAAGCAACTTACCTTCATTTATTTACCGCAAGAAATTCGACGGAAATACCACGATAATTCTGTAAACCGCATTTTGGACTGAATTTAAAGAGACAAACAATAACATAAGACATCGAAAAGGCAAAAGCGAAGATTTTAATCGAAGAACCGACTCAATTGATGTTTCAGGTACTGCGCTAGTACGTTTAATAGTACTGGCTCATGAGTCAACAAGTTTTATATACAACTGATATACACTATAAAATATTAAAATCGCATGACTGAATATTTGCGAAATTTCTCGATATTTTTATCGTTTTTTTGCATTTACATTTTGTGTTTTTTCTATTATTTCTATACACAGTGTTTTACTGTTCAAGGGTGTACACATTTATCAATGATAAAATAAATTTTAATCAATAAATATGGCAGATTGCTTTTTCCACACAGTTAGGGGGTAATTGAGGACTTTGGAAGCCCAGAGGCAGGTAGTGACTCAGAGGTAGTGACTCAAGCAAGTGTAGAAAGTCTGCCATGCAAACTAACACAAATATTGAGTCAGGAACTTCATGTCATAAAGTTCTTTGTTGGTTTGCATGTTGATAAATTATAATATAATGGTTTTGTTTAATATGGAAACACTTTGCAGAGCTTTTGACTGTAAATATATTATATTTTCACTGATGAGCATCCGAGCTTGTGGATTGCAAATTAAGTCATTTGTGGTGTTTCCACAAACAAAACAATTATGTCAACTTATTCATGTCAACAAAATATTGTGTACATAAAATCCCCTACACCATATTAGGGTGGGGGATCAAATGTCACACCACAATGAATTTTACTTATATCAAATATCATAACCACCTCTTGATAACATGATTAATGGCAAATCGCTAAATCCATGTCAACAGGGGGAGGGGTGGATCACCCCCAAATTGAATGATGCATTTTAAAAGTTCACTGTAATTACTGTATTTTAAAACCAAAATGGCAGATTAAAACTATATAAGTGAGGTATCATTTTTTATAATGGCAGATTGCATTTTTTCCCCACAGGAGGCTGAGAAGTTGAGAACGATGATTTCATAAGAAAAGAACCCCCATACCTGGAATTTGCAACCCTGGAATTTCCAAATAACACAAAATTCCCTTCCCTGGAAATGCTAAAATTACTGGGTTTGAACTTAATTTAATCCCAAAACCCCCCCCCCCCTCCTGGAATTTCCAAAGTCCTCAAACCCCTTGTGTGGAAAAAACAATTATCACTTAATATTTACTGAGACCGAGGGAAACAGTGTGTTTTGTGGACCCGAGACCCAAACATCGACGGTCGAGGGTCCACAAAACACACTGCTTTCCCGAGGTCTCATTAAATAAGTGTTTTATTATATATCAATAGTCAAAGAAACAACAAATTAAAGAACAAATGAACGTAAATACATGAAATATTTTATTGTTAAAACGTTATATTAAACACTGGCTACACTGCAGTTACTTAAAGTGAAAGTTTTAATTACGTACTAGGCATGTCCAAAGGTCGCACCTTCACGTGATGGCGCACGTGATTTTTTTTGTTATTCGCCGGTGGATAACGTATTATCTCCCTCTCGCGCTGTTGCGAGGGAGACAGCCTAATTTCGTCACTCTCACGTGATATGCTCTCAACCAATAAAACACTAGAAAAATGCGACTTTGACTATTGATATATAATAATCTGCCATATTTATTGATTAAAATTTATTTGATCATTGATAAATGCATACACCCTTGCAAAGTAGAACACTTTGTATAGAATAATAGAAAAAACACAAAATGTAATTGCAAGAAACGAAATATGTTATGTCATGCGATTGTAATATTTTATAGTGTATATCAGTTGTATATAAAACTTGTTGACTCATGAGCCAGTACTATTAAACGTACTAGCGCAGTACCTGAAACATCAATTGAATCGTTTCTTCGATTAAAATCTTCGCTTTTGCTTTTTCGATGTCTTATGTTATTGTTTGTCTCTTTAAATTCAGTCCAAAATGCGGTTTACCGAATTATCGAAGTGGTATTTCCGTCGAATTTCTTGCGGTAAATAAATAAAGGTAAGTTGTTTAGCAACTGATGGCCGCCATCTTGGATCAGGCTTGGTTACAAGGCAAATTCGAAAAAAGTGAGCCCAAAATATTATTCTGCATCGCGCACGTGTTTATATGTCCGCCATCTTGGCTATCTACTACTATTAATGATCTTTAAACACGGTAACCTATCGCATCGGTGATTTTCAAAGGGCCGTGCGGAAAATAAATACATTATAAAAGAAGAATAAACTTATTACTAATAAACTAAATTATACGCGATCGTTCGCTGACGACATTCTCGCTCACTTTATCCGCAAGCAGAGAAAACTTTTTTGAGTGTGTACTTTCCGCGCTGAAGAAAGAATGACTCTATGTCCCGTACACCTGCTTACTGCAGGACATTCATTGTCGTTTGAATAGTGAGATTAGAATAATTATTTATTTTCTCTATTTGTATATATATATATTTTCTCTGTTCACAGTATGTCCATAATGTAAAGGGAGTCGAACAGTAAAATATACGGTATGTTTGGGACCGGTCAGTGTCTTGACCTGTCCGCCATTTCGTATAATATAGAGAATCCGTAATAGCTACATAGAGTTATTTCAGTTAATTTCATAGTAGATTTTTTAGGCCGGGGTTTTACCAACTTAATTTTAATTTTTTAATTTAAACAAATTTTATTTGGATCGATATTCACAATTTTTAACAAACAAAAGAATATAACAGAACAAATATTACATTAAGTTAAAATAACCTAGATATCAAAAGTAGATCCAAAAAGGTAAGGTACGAACGGGACTCTTATAAAATGTCCCATGCAGGGCACCCAACTCCAAATAGTAACATGATAACAAATAGAACATCGCGAACTCAAACTCACTAAAGGATTCAGGCAAGCGAAAAATTAAATGCAATAGTTAAACTCGAAATTCAAAATAGTCACTGCTTCAAAGAGTTTGAGTAAACGTGGCTCTATTTCCTGAAACTGGGCGTGTCAAGTAAACTAAGAGACAGATTGAACATGCATGTAAAGGTAAAGGCCAGCTTCGACACAGGAAGATCCTCCGCTGAACAGAAACGGCGGGAGAGCTTTCATTGTCTTAAATTCACGACGTCCACGTCATTCGTGTGATTAAATTCATTTAGTTCGAAACCAGAGGTTCCAAACGAAATCTTGCAAAACAAACTGAAAACTTTCCCGTCCACCCCGATCCTGAAGGCCCTCCCGAATGGAGACTAGCCTTTACATGATAGACAGAAACATATTACAGACAGAGACAGACAAATATACAAACACGACAAACTGACTTAACTATTTCCTGTGGCAAGGACAGTCCCGTACCAGTGACCACGTACAAGATAACTCAACATCATAGACTGACTTAACAAGTTCGGTATATTTACGTTTAAGATAGTTTTTAAAGGAGATCGGACTGGAGAATGCATCTGGATGAACGTCTTTGCATATATAGTTCCATGGTTTAACTATCCGGTTGAAGTATGACGATTGAAAGGTCGTTGTTCTACACAAGGGTGTTTGAACTGTCCTTAATAGGAGTTTGCGCAACAATAGGGCGACCACAAAGCGAGAGTTGACTGTAGCTAACTGTTATTCAAAAATTACTTTCAATCCTAGATGTTTCTTAAACTTTTCGAATATATAGTATCGGGAAGATAATATTGATATCTGGAATTTTGTCACTTCTGTGGTTACCAATTTTCACTATAAACGGCAGATAATATCGAAACTCCAGGCATGAGTTGAATGTTTCAGAACATTTTTTGAATTACTGTATTTATTGTTTTCCTCGACGAGATAAAATGCTGAACGTTGAGGAAAGATTAACTGCTCTAGATCTTAGTCTAATTAGGTTTTTTATTAATATTCTGTAATTATGGGCTCACCTGTGTTAAAGCTCTGAAAGAAACGTGTACAAATCCCTTTCTTGTAAGTAAAGCGCGTTGTGCTTCTTCTTTATCCACGTCATTTAGCTCACAGACGCCATTGCCTTCAAGACCCAAGTTAAATGATCGACAGTGGCAGGTTTGGCCGCATTTCCGAAAGCATTCTCCAAAATCAGCGTTGGGTATTGTCTCCAGTACATGGCCAGAAATGGCATGATTTTGCAAGCCAGTATCGTGAATATGAGCGTTGTATCCTGAGCAAGTACCCTTGGCGAATGTGTACGCTATTATGAGAAAGATAATTCCCGTCAATATGTAATAAATAATTCTTTTATCCATTTTACTTTTGCATCCATGCAATACTTACAGTATATGTAAGAGTAGTGCAAATTATCAGTTCTTTAGAGTGCACACTAATGGCCAATAATGGCGATTTATATAATAAAACGATTGTACCTTATTAACATAATAAACGAATCCATTTCGAACATGTAAAGCTGCATCAAGTATGTACATGCAAATAGTACCTATGATCAGTGTGAATAAGTGATCGTAAGGTCTATTGTTTCAGCAGGGATCCACTGTATTATTAATGCGGTGCTAAAAAGCAACAGATGGTTTTGTCAACACAAATGTGAAATTAGCGAATTAATGTGAAATTAACGAATTAATTAAAGCAAGCGACGTTTTTGTCAACACGCGGACGCCACCCCAAAATAGATATAACTAATTTTGGCGGCATTTTGCATCATAGTGTTCATTCGAGGAAGCAAAAAAAGGTTAAAAACTTATGTTTTGTCGCATGTGTTGAAGATGACCACAAACTCACAAAAACGCAGTTTTTAATCCAGTCCACCCTCGACAATCTGACGTTCCTGTAAAAATAAAACTATAAGGCCTCTGCCAGGAACAGAACCTGTGATCTTACGATTCCAGCTGTCAATTTCTGAACACTAAACGAAATTTTATGTAATCTATAGTACATTTAAGGCGTACGGATAAATATCAGCATTTTGGGCATCTACACTCAAAAGTATCTAATTTATAAAGAGAGCGCTTCATCGGAATCACATGCAGTGCCGTAGGATCGATCTCTAGCACATGGCTTATAGTTGAATTCTTCTCAAATGTACTCCATGACCATCGCACTTTTTAACCAAACATCCTAATCATGAACTGATTTCGAAACTATGAAGTGAAATCATGTTTGAAGTGAAACTAATGGTGGCCGTATTGTTAGAATATGAAAAGTTATCCTCAGTTGCATGTCTTTCTGCCTACATTTCATCTCAATTATTAATGAGTTTACACTTCATCACTGCCTGAAGTCTCATTATTTAATGTTTAAAAAACGTTCTTCGTTTAAAAGGTTATGTTCCCAAGGTTAATGGCTGATAATATCTCCACTAATGTTATGCTATATTGCAATATAAATTAACAAGCAGTTCTTTCTGTTAAAATATTAATTTATATTAGACGTCAGAATGTGTATATTTGTGAAACAAGTGGTGTCAATATCAAAATGCCGTATAGGTGACGCCAATATCTAAAAGGCGTAACACACTTCTATCATCTGCTCTTCTACCCGAGAGATTTAATTCCTTAAAGCAGCCAAATGATGGAACAGCAATCAAAATATACATTTATAGCGTTATTATTATTATTTTTTTATTTTAAACATTTTCCCTATGTACAATAAAGTTATGTGTAGTATATTTGCAATAATTGTAGAGTGCGGGCTAGAGCTCTACTAGAAATCTTCGTAGACTTTTTATTTAGGTCTCTAGTTATTCTAGTTTGTATTATATTATGTAATAAATTATTTACAGTCAATCACAATATTAAAGGAATATATATATATATATATATATATATATATATATATATATATATATATATATATATATATATATATATATATATATATATATATATATATATATATATATATATATATATGAGAATATATAGAGGCCTGTTTATTGGCTTCTTAGTTTTTTAATATCAACTGACGAAGATCGGAGGTTTCTGATCGAAACGTCTTGTAAAAACTTTTTTATAAACGTGATTACGTTTTTTACATAGCTAGTGACAAGAAACTTTTAATCTTTTAATATATAAATATATATATATATATATATATATATATATATATATATATATATATATATATATATATATATATATATATATATATATTTTATATATATATATATTATATATATATATATATATATATATATATATATATATATATATATATATATATATATATATATATATTATTATTATTATTATTGATGTTTATTAAAACTCTCTTGCAGTTATACAACTGAATTAACGAGTTTACTAGTAAAATTGACATAATATTTCTATGGTAATGTTCATATTAAGATGTTCAAATATAGACTATTATTATTTATTCCTAATATTTACAGCATATTTCTAATTATTCAATTAAACAGTATTAATGGAAAAATTTAAAAGTAAAAAAGGATTGTGCTCTGTTCGTTTTACAGAAGTTCGTTTTGGAAGTAGATTTTTTTAATTTTTTTTTTAACAACTTTATTGGTTAATATTTATAAATATGTACAAATACATTTGAAAATAACCAATCGGCAAAGGCGCGAACGGGACTAAAGTACCCATGCGAGGCACCTTCCCGTTAAAACATAACGTTAAAATAACATAGGTCAACATAAGACTAAATAGTAAATTATACTGTATGTAAAGCCAATTCTTAATGGCAAGAACAGTCACGAGACAGTGTCCATGTGCACGGGAAGTCTATGTCAAAGGATGCATTGAATAAAGTCAGGTATGTTTGCTTGAGTAATTGTTTAAATGATGAGATGTTGGAAAAGCCATGCACAGGAGCTGATTTGCAAATAGTGTTCCAGAGTTTGACAATCCGGTTGTAAAAGGATGCCTGAAAAGCGTTTGTCTTACAACGTGGAGCTTTCGTAACTAAAGGAATCTGGCTGTGTCTGGTGCGGCCATGGCCTATAAATGCAATATATTTATTGACGTTCACGTCGATGTACCCATATAGGGCCTTGTAGAAAAAGGTTAGGTCTTTGATTTCTCTGTCGTAGCATAAAAGCAATAAGTGGAGCAACTGCAATCTTTGGTGGTAAGACATTTCTTTGCCTTTGTAACCGAAGATCCATTTGGTGGCTCGCCTCTGTACTCTTTCAAGCTTGGCTTTGAGCATGTCCTGCGCCGGGGACCAAACTTGGGTAACATAACATAACTGTGACTTGACAAGAGATAAGTATATTGTCCGTCTCACTTGAATATCAGTTAACAGTGGGCAAGTTCTGTTAAGAAGACCTAATAACTTGTTTGCCTTTGCAACAATTACAGATATGTGATGATGCCAGGTGAGTTTGGATGATGTAGTAACTCCAAGATCTTTCTCTTGCTGAACGCGGGTTAATATGGCAGAACCAAGTTGGTAATCGTAAACCACAGGATTTTGCTTGCGTGTAATGGTGAAAACTTTACATTTTGTGCTGTTGAATTTCATATTGCTCTGCTGGCTCCAGATGTTAATGTTAGTGCTGAGGGCTTGCTGTAAACCCTCGCAGTCAGTCAGAGGGGTAGCCTCGCAGTAGTTCGGAAGAGTGATTTTCATTGGCTCGATTTGACAATTGCTTTTGTGTTTACAACAATGAATTGCTTCGTTCTTTAGAAAACCCCCATCCAATTGGAGACGACCTTCCGAGGCACTGCGAGGCTTCCCAGTCAGAGACCAGATGTTTCGATGTAATTTGGTATCGTCCGCGAACAGTGCTGTATTGGTACCATTTGGAATAATTTCAGGGAGATCGTTAATGAATATAACAAATAATAATGGACCCAGGATACTTCCTTGAGGCACCCCAGAGGTAACAGGGACCCACTGGGATACAGCACCGTCGATCACAACCCTTTGAGTTCGACCGTTCAGGTAGTCAGTGAACCAGTCCAGGAGTCGTGCAGCCACGCCGTAGCATTTTAGTTCCTCAACAAGTATTTGATGGTCAACCGAGTCAAATGCTTTGGCAAAACATCCGGCTGGGTGTTATTGTCAAGATTTTGACCTATGTTGTGAAGTACCGAGAGCAGTTGTGTTATACATGAACACTTTCTCAGAAATCCATGTTGTAGTGGAGAAATTAGTTGAATAACGTCAGCGTACATGTGATTGTAGACGCAGCGTTCCATGACTTTACTCACAATTGATAGCAGGGAAATAGGTCTATAATTTTCGGCTGGTTCTTTGGAGTTTTTCTTGTGGACAGGCGTGACGTTGGCAGATTTCCACTCGGAAGGAAAGCGACCGCAAATGAGAGAGTGGTTGAAGGTGGTACAAAGACTTGGTGCAATTTGTTGACTACATTCCTTCAAGAGCCTAGAGGGTATCCCGTCTGGGCCGCAGGCTTTTGTTGTGTCCAGGGAATTTAGACAATCCGAGACATCTTCAACACAAAGGGCAACCTCGTTCACAGGGCTTCAGTGTGAGGACGAGGCGAGACACGAGGAAGCCCTGGTCCGGGCCGGTCACGTGACGACAAAATTTGGCAGTATTTGACAGCTACTCGTCAAGGAGTGGCGAGATATTCTTTAATGAATTATACAAGTCTTCGAAACAAATAAATAGTCAAAGGACTTCTCAATCGATATTATTTATGTGTAAAGCGAAGTTTGGCACGAATCAGCTAAAATCTATGAAGATCCCGTCTATGTTTTCTAAGATATACCGATATTTCTGGAGATTTTCAACTACAGGCAAAGCTGCATCCAAGCTGCATCTAGGCGTCTCCATGCAAGTGGTGATTCACACGAAATTTCCTTTCTCTCGTCTTGAACAATAGGGCTATTGCTATAATTAATATTTAGTTTAAATATGCTCTTAAAGATCTGACTTAGTTCAATATAAATAAACAAATATAAACCTCGCGTAAGCTGTTTACGCTGTACAGGAGTATACGGATTCGCTTGTTTCGTCGGACACCAACACTTGCCGTTCAGGAGCCGAATGCTTGCCTACAAATTTTATCCCCTTCACAATGTTTGTTTTATTTTATCGTATAGTCGCAATTTTCAAGTATTCGGGGGTATTCTGAAACTGAAAAACTGGGTGGCGTGCGAATCTTGTAGAAACTACATCGGCCTAGGCGTAGAGCTATTAATAAGTAAACAGGGCCTAAATTAATTTAGTAGCTTCATTTAATTGTTTGTCTTGCTTTTATTTGTCAGTACAGAATATTGTAAATTAAAATATTACTACAATGCAATACGCGCAGTATTTCATCAGACATCTGCACTAATAAATACTGTACAAGGAAAACTACAGCTTAAATAATAGTAGACGTTTCTTGTTTTGTCATGAGGAAACATCACAGCTCACTTCGACACGGCTTTTCAGTTTAGTAACCGGCCAAGGCGAAAGTAAATCATGCAGTCGGGAAAACGCACTGATCTGAAAGAAAACGTCTTACTTTGAAAGATTATTTTGCAAAACATACTCGTACACACAAGAATCATAAAAATACAAATGTTGAATTGTTATTGTCAACTGTTAAGTTCAGCTATTTTTAGACAATATGTCATCTCAATATGTTATCTCCAGTTTTGGGCAATATTAGACAATATTAGACAATATTAGACAATATGTTATCTCCAGTTTTGGGCAAAGTCATGAGGTGTGAACTTGAATGTGACCTGATTAAGTGTGTTTGTGCAGTTATAGTTCCTTGAGTAGACTTTATTTCCAGAACACAGAACAGCTATCGTCAATGGAACATGCACAATCAGGCTTTCATTGGCAAGTCAACACATAATTATAAAGGTGCCCTTGCCTTTTTATTGTTCCAACGTCCCTGTATAAATGCATCAAATCTTTTTTTACCTGTAGTACTTATGTTGTGTTCTGTTGTGGGAGTTTAACA